CCCCCCGTCCCCGCAGGAGGACGTGAGCTTTCGCTTTGCTGCCTGTGCTTTCACCCCTGCACGAGGATTTCCACCTCTAGGGGAAAAAAAAATAAAAATAAAAAGGAGGTTTGCTGGGTTTTTCTCTCCTAAATGCACTTTGAAAGCAGCTTAAAAGTGGTTTGTGTTTTTTTTTTTTTTTCTGCTAAACCACGCAGAGCCGCATCCCCGGTGACAGCACGGGATGCACGTCCCTAACCCGGACTATTCACGATTTCTTTAATTTACAATTTTCAAATCAAGACAGAGTGCCTGCTCCTGCAAGGGGGCTGTCCCTCTCCAGATTGATGCCCAAATCCAGTGGTTTCCCACTCCAGGGTCACCTCCTGTCATTTAAAGCCACCAGGAGGGTGGGAGGGAGTCCCCCCCAAAATGGGAATTGAGGATGGGGAGGAGTTGGTTGGTTGATTATTGTTTGTTGTTTCTACTTGGAGAAAATAATTAGCGATATTTTCCACTGGGATCTATCTAAAAATTAAACAAAATTAAAACCCAGCAGCCACTTCTGCACATTTCCAAGCCTGGGGAAGGCCAGAAGCAGAAGTATCAAGGCACCAGCTTCATAAAAGAAACCCAAACCACGACACTACGTATTTTTTAACACATTGTGCTTTTTTTTTTTCCTGCTTTTTTTCTGCATCACTATGGCACCCTTCGCTATTTGGTGACCCACAGTGTCCCCTGCGTCCTTCTGCCCTGTCCCCAGCGCCAGGCAATGGGTCCCATACCCTCCCCTGGGCACTCGCAGCATCCCCAGGGCAGGACTGGTCTTTTGGAAAATAAAAAGCAAAACTCCGATGTGTAAGGGGGGAAAAAAAAAAAGCCTTAATAAAATCAGCCCGGTCATTGCAATGTTTTATTTTCAACAAATGTACAATATTTTTTTTTTTCTGGGAGGGGGGGAACAAGTGCAAAGAAGCCATCATCCAGCAGCAAATGCCAAATGGGAATGACTCTCCTCCGCGTGATAACCCAGCGTCTGGCACATCTGGTGTCCTTCGGGGACTTGAGGAACAGAAACAGTTGCTGCTCTAGCATCAAAAC